AGTGATATCATTATTATCATATTTGAAATAAACATATAAAATTATTGAAAATGTGTTTTCAAGTCGGCATATTTCCCAAGGGGCTCATGTTATAAAATCATGAAAAAAGAAATATAGTTTATTTTTTCATTGTACAGATAATATTTTCTTTCACTTTGGATATATTTTCAAGTGTATAATTATCAAATTCAAAAAGGTTATATAAAATTGATCCACTAATAATAACAATAAATAGTTCAAAATTAGATTATTTCATCAAATGAAATTGAAATGACATTTCATCAATTTCCTTTCAACTTTTTTGTGAATGTGCAGAACTACCTTGTTATAGCTCAGAAATATGTTGCCACTCGTAAGGTCATTTTTAAACACAAGAGCTGATAAAAATCAATCAAAAATCGTACAATATGATGCTGGTTCTATAACCACATTTTCGGCATCTTCTTGCACATTTCTTCGTTCTTGGAAAATGTTTACATAACTCCTTCCTAACTGATTCCTGAATTATTTCTGGCTTATGGCCCTTTGCATTTGTTGAGTGTAGTATTTCACAACACCAACATGTGTTTCTATGACCCGGTGACCTAATAAGGCCAAACCTATTTGTAAACAAGAGTTTCATTTAAGATCGAGTATTGCTCTTGGTACTGGCGTGACGCAGTTCAGACGTTCCAAAATGGCGTACATCATTTACATATTTCGTACGCACGTTTTCAATACGAATCACTTATTATTTCTCAATTTAAGCCAACGTTTACAGTACGTGGGGCATAGTTAAAATGGGTATAAAAAGGGGTATCATTATCATTACTGGGTCGAAATTCAGAGGTCGAAACTCAGAGAACGAAATTACGGGGACGAAATTCGGGAATTGAAATACAAGAACGTCTACGCTACTGCACGTCTAAGCCAAGAGTTGCTCAACAATAATACAAGTAAGTCAATTAAGCTACAAAACCTTGGACGGTTTTACACTAGCAATATTTTGGTTCTTTGAATTCATCAATCTTTCTGGTTGAATTGCTAATTTATAAGGAGTTCTAAAACCCGTAGTTAAAGGTACTAAATGGTTATCACTTGCATTGTTTTTGGTAATTTAGACAATATCTGTCTACTTCTGAGTTGTAACTAGTGTTGTCATTTTGGTTATAATTGTACATATATTTTGAAGTACTAAAACTATCCAATAAGTGATAGGAAATATATTGACTGGTATTATATAATCATAATAAATCTTCATTGTCAATGTGCGAGTAATAGTAAGCTAGACGATCACCCACTTTCTCTCACAATTTAAGCATTTATAATTAATCGTCTACATGGATATTACGCCCTTCACCTACCACTTAACTATCCTTGATCTCTACGCCTTGTAACTGACCTATTCATCAATTTAATTAGGTTGCCCCACTTGAGCTACATAAAAGGGCGCCCCCTTTTATCGAACTTTTGTAAGCTACCCATTACGTGATTTTATTCGGTCACACCCCACGGGATTACTCTCTTTCTCTCATTCATGTGTTATTCATTCATCCATACTCAAGAGATTTTCCGAAGATAACACTTGGTGGAACTGCCTTGGGTTTTCTAGACTTACTAAAGAAAGCACATTGAGTAATAATCATTTATGTGGACAAGAAGTCGTCAAAGAAATCACGATAAAATTATGGCACAAGCGGCTCAACAATTGAATAACCAAAATGAACAGCCCCCCTTACTTGACCATGCTCAAGAACCTGAACATATTGAACAAAATCAAGATCAACAACCGGAACCAAATCAGCCAGATCAAGTTATAAACGATGAAATAAATGCGGCCGGAGAAATTCAACAACAAGTCGACAAAATCCTAGCAAAATTACAAGTTGGTGGCGGACATAAAGGTCAGATAATTAAGCCATTAATCTTCAGCAGCGCAAGCTCAGTTAGTAATCCTAAATCTTGGATAGACAAATATGATATATACGCTCAGTTTTCAAAATGGCAAAATGCAGAAAAAGGTATATTCTTGAAAATGTTTCTCAGTTCTAATGCTGAAATTTGGTATGACAACCTACCTCAAGATATTAAACAAAATTGGGATGTTTTGAAAGCTGCCTTCATTGACAAGTTTATTAATGAAACACCGCGATGGGCCAGAGAAGGCAATCTCATGGACCGAATCCAACAAACAAATGAAAGTGTTGATAATTACATAAATGACATTAGCATTCAGTGTTCAAAATTAGACATTTCACCAAACAAACGATTGAGACTGTTTGTAAGAGGGTTAAGATCCGACATCAAGAAATTCGTGGTAGCTAGAAATCCCGACACAATACATTTGACTGAAGAATTTGCAAGATTAGGGGAAAGTGTAGAAAACATAAAACCAGACAAACAGGTTTCGCAGACAGTTAATGTAATGTCAAATGTAGAAACCAAATTGATGGAGCTGTTTCAAGAACAACAGTCCTTATTGAGATCATTATCAAATGAGGTGAAATCCCTGAAACAAAATTTCAACAGACCACCCCCACGAGCCTCCTATAATGGCAGAATGACTGATGGTCGACCAGTGTGCGGACGATGCGGTCGTGTAGGTCATCCAAGTCCAGCATGTAGGACTTACCCTAAAGTTTCAATGGCAGGTTATTCAGTGGACCGTTGTTTCAAATGTTCCAAAACAGGGCACACGGCTCATTTTTGCAATCAAAATCCATATCAAAATAGATATGAAAGATCAAATGATTATCCTAGAAATCAAAATTATCAATCTAACTTTAATGCTCCCCGCTTTCAGAGCCAGGGAAACGCATAGGTCCTGTCAGTCAAAACAAACCCAAAAATAAAAATTCACACAAAAATAAGCGACTGGCAGGAAAGAATGATAAATATTCAAATGGTCAAAATGTCATTAATCACACAAATAAAAAGTCAAACGTTTGTGAATTAATGCCTAAATGCGCAACAATTTTGACAACTGACATTTTTAGAGATAATCTTATTAATGTGTCTTTCGCAGGTCAAGATTTCCGAGCATTGATTGACACAGGTGCTCAAATTTGTGCAATTAATTACAACGTACTGAGTAAATTCCCAGAACTAGCATCTCAAATTCAAAATTCAAGTGTGAACAAATGTATAGCCGCAAATGGTGACCCATTAGACATAGTAGGAGAACTGTACACAACAATTGATATTGCACACAGAACAGCACAAATCAAATTACAAGTCATAAAGAAACTTGACCATGATATCATTATTGGTGTCGATTTCTAATCAGCATATGAAGTCACTATTGATTTCAAATCACGTAAAATACGATGTCTAATCCCTGTTCAATCAAATCTCTCAGCTGACAAAGATATAGTTATCCCCCCAAAATCAGAGGTGGTTTGTTTAGTCAAAGTCAAACATAACATTCCCGATGGAATTATAGGCGAATGTAGCAGAATCAACTTAAAACTACCTCTTGTTGTAGCATCCTCCATGGGTTGTATTAAAAATGATCATTTCCCAGTAAAAATATTGAATCCCACAAATAAACAACAAGTCATTTACAAATCAACCAAATTAGCTAAATTCACATGCTTGTCCAGTGACGCAGAATTAATAAGCCTAACAGGTGGCCAGCCAGAAAATTCATCTGTTAATCACCCCGTTGAAAACCGAGACGTTTACGGAAGTTCTAATAAACGAACACGCACACATCGTCAAATGAATCACATTGAAACACAAAAACAAAATCCAAAATCAAATTCAAAAATAAAGTCAGACATTGATAACCCATATCAATTAGATTTATCTGAGTCCGAATTAAATGAAGAACAAAAAAATCAACTTTTAGAAGTGCTTGAAAGACACAAGGGGGTATTCCTTGGTCCGGACAGCAAATTAGGGTTCACAGACTTAGTAGAACACAGAATTCCTTTAAAACCTGGTAGCATTCCTGTTAGACAACGTCCCTATAGGACAACTCCAGAGAAAAGAGAGGAAATATCAAAACAAACTAAAGATATGTTAGATCAGGGAATTATCGAGCCAAGCACAAGCTTATGGGGCGCACCTGTCATACTGGTACGGAAACCATCTTCCAAACCAAACGAACCTCCAAAATATCGTTACGTGATAGACTACAGAAAGCTAAATGCCCAGTCAGTTGAAACATCCTTCCCAATGCCACTTATAAACGAATATATAGAATCAGTCGGTTCTCAAGCACCTCGATATTTCAGTTCTGTCGACTTAGCAAATGCTTATTTTCAACAAAGTTTGGCAAAAGAGGACAGGGAGAAAACTGCCTTCGTCACACATGAAGGAACTTTTCAAATGAAAAGAACCGGAATGGGTCTTAAAGGTTCAGCAGCTTCTTTTCAACGTCTTATGACGTCAGTGTTACAAAATCTTAACTGGTCATGCGCATAGCAATAGCTTTACAGATGGTTCAGGTTCATCAAAAACGAGGAGGAAGCGTTTTTCTTCCAAATATTCATGAGGGACGCCAATTTGTCATTTTTTCGGGCTTTGTATTAAAGCCACGGGCCAATCCGGAGACGATTTTTGGATCGTTCTTGGTTCGTTTGCTGATAATACCCCAAAATATGTAAATCCCCCTAGTTCTATTGGTCATTCCTGGAAATTTTTGGGAAAATGCATTTGAACAATCAGGTATAAATATGGGGAGGAAACAGTTTTGTTCCATCCCTCGGGAAGATCATCTAACGAACACTTCGAAACAACAGAAACAGCAGACGATAGCAGAATGGCCTCATCAAGCAACACTGACATGGACCAGAAAGCTCAACTGAAATTTCTTAACGTAAGTGCGATATTCCTTTATATCATTATAACAACGGTTTCTGTACAGGGTGAGCCCCGTGTAATTGCAAATAATGGATACATCCCAAGAACAAATTTTGGCGTTTTGTTTAAAGAATTCACGGTCATGACTCCCGACACGGCTAGCTTTTGGCAAAATGGTTTTGTAATTCAACGGATTGATATACCCAGAGTTTTGTTGAAGAATCCTTTCGATCATTGTCCGCCAAGTTTTGATACAGATATTTGTGATCAATTGCAAGGTTTCACAAACCTTATAGAACTATTTTTTCTGGTTTAGTAAAAAGTATTAAAACTCTAGCGAATGATATCAATAAATTATTACCTCGTTCAGCAAAATTAACTTCAACTAGAACAAGGAGAGGATAACTTGATCCCATCGGTCAAACTTTAGGATACCTTTTTGGTTTATCAACAAAGGAAGATATGAATAAGGTCTATGCTCACATCAGGAAAATTGAAACATACATGGTCAATTCATCTCATAATATGGTTTCATTTGAAAATCATCTGAGCTCCTTTATTTTGACAAATAACCGCAGATTAGACAATTTAGTGAAAGGGCTACAAAACATCTATGATTTAATCAAAAATGTTCATGATTTAATAAATCAAATTTCATCGGAAGCGTATAATGAAAGTATAATTATGCGAAAGATGTTAAACAATACACGCAATCACATGATTTTGACGTCAAATGCAATGAAAATCGCTTCAATACAAATACAAGTTTTGCGTTCTTTAGAAAATGAATTGAGAATTAGGATTAAAGCAATTGAAAATCTTATCAAGGGATACATCACACCGGAACTAATAGCTCCGGCTTCAATTAATAAAGCGTTATATAAAGTCAAACAGCATCTGAATCAGAAATATCCAACCTTCAAAATGGTCTATTCCGACGTCAGCTTTTATTATAAAACAGTTGGCGCGACTTTCACGTATACCGACAAGTTACTCTATGTTAATATTCGAATACCACTAACTTCTGTTCCATTCATGTTAAATGTTTATCACGTTATAAGTATGCCAGTTCATATACCACCAACAGAAAAATCAACAAACATGAAAGAAACAAATCATAGCACTGAAATTAATGAAATCCCTCCTTATTTGGCGATGTCTCCCGACCAAGATTTTTTTGTGGAATTATCTAACGAAGAATATTTAACATGCAAAGGTGATCAGTTAAAAATTTGCACTACAGCCCTGACATTGAAACAAACTAATACTCAAGCTACTTGTGCCACAAGCCTGTTCTTTAATGACCCAACTGAGGTCATGCGACTCTGCTCCTTTACTTATCACACTCAAAATACGCCCAGGAATTATGATTTATCGCCCACAGATATGCTCATTAATGTTCCAAAATCTGAATGGACACTAACATGTCCCAATCAGCTTCCAAAACGTGTTGAAAGTTGCACATTCTGCGTAATAAAACGTGAATGCGTGTGTTCACTTTCTTCCAAAGATTTTTTTATTCCCCGATCTTTAGGCGCCTGTGAGAACACAAATACAACTTTTGAAGTAAAAATGGCATACCCCTCGAATCTTGCTTACCTGCTTACATTTTTCAATGACTCTATTTTACATTCAATCGAGGCTGAAACCTTACTCCCTGACGAAATTGTAGTTCGCCACCCCAAGTTTAATTGGAATCACAAAACTTGGTCTGATGTTTTACAAAACGACGAAGGTTTCCAAGCCGACTTGAAAAAATTATCTAAAACCATTGAATCGGATTCCCCAACGTTTTTCACCCCTTTAGATCGATTCATAGACCTCAATGATTGGTCAAATAGCTGGGGGACAATGGATTACGTGTTTACGGTATTCGGTATTCTGACAATTGTTTCTTTTGGAATGTCATCCTATCTAATGTGTAAAATGATGGTTTGTTCAACCACTCTGATTCAAAATGCTCAAGGGTTGCTTATATCGGAACAAAACAGGAAGCCAGAAACTAAGGTACAACAGTATGGTTTAGACGTTGACACAATGGTTCAGGTTATGGTCCTTATGATTTTCTCCTTCATGACTATTTATCTTTTGGAAAAAGTTCACGTCAGTGAGACGCTTCTTTGGGTTGAGAAATTCAGTCAACTGTGAACTGAAGCTGGTTTTTCTAACGTCCACCGACATGGTTGAATTGTTTCTTTCGAACATACCACTGGATTTAGTCCCAATGATTAGGTATTCCACGGGTCAGATTGGGAATATCGAAGTCAAATTCAATCCCTGGAATTTTCACGTTCTTATCGATTGGGATTCAATGTGTATTAGATTGAACAACACAGAGGACGAATTAAAACTTCCTACAACATTGAACGTCTCCCCTTTTCACCTTCTGAATATAAAACGGATAATTGGAGTTTCTCCTCTGACAAGGTTTGTCGTTAAGGTCGGATCTCAAAAATATTTTACGGAACATAAATTTTAAGAACTTAACACAATGAACATCACATTGTACGTTTTGAATATTTATATTTTCAGTTCAAGGAAATATGTGAATTGATAGAAGCCCCACCAAGGAAAGAGGTAATCAACGAGATGATACATAATCTAACGGAAAAGGTGGAAAGCATGGGACTGGAAACCCCAATGGACACAAATGAAATAAAAGCACCAACAAAGATGAAAACAAAACCAGCCAAAAGATTTGGACGGAGAGAGACGCATAACGAAGAACCACAACCCTATATTCCCGTCAGATGCACAGAATGTAACAATATTTACTTGGATAGAAGACGAAATACAAATAATAGTCAATCAGTAACATTTTATCAACCAACCCTCACGGTAACTCCGGGGGATATACTTTTAGTATCCCAGTGCAATAGATGCAATAAAATAACCTTGGTTCCACAAAAAATTTAAATTTAGCAAGACATTTCATTTATATGAATAAAAATTAAAATATTTCCTATGTATTATACGTTCAATTTAGACCATTATAATGCAAATAACTTACCTTAAAATCACGAATTCCAACAATTACTTCAATCAATACTAGTTATCAATAATCCTTATTATCCCGATATCATTGTGCTAACCTTATTATATTTCTTGATTAGTTCGACCTTTTACATCGATAATTTACATTTTCACTTGCTAACGTCTTAATTTTGACAAATATAAACAAGGTTATTTTGGCGCACATATTATAAAGACAGTGCTCCCTTTACTACTCGATACAAGTCCGAAAGCATCATTAGAACAACCAGACCACCAAATGGACATATTATTTACACATGCAGCTGTCTCTTCATTCATCTCGTGAACATTATCATAACTAAAAGCAGAAAAAGACTAGCAGCAGCATAGTGAGACTTTTAGTGTAAACCACAATCGACTTATATAAAAACATATTATTAAATATGTTTATGACATTGATGTATAATTACAAAAACTATTAAACAAAACAAAAAAAAAATTGCATGAAATCAACGCCTATTTTAGGTATATTCTCAGTAAAATTGTATAATTTTCTATTAAAACTGAATTACTATTCAATTTGCGTGAGTAAAACTGTTGTTTTATATTCTGAAATCCTGTAATTAAAGGTTGTTTTTTTTTATGATTATCCAACATAAATATGTACATATATAGATTTCAACTATTTTATGCATGACTTTATATTGTATTACTTGTATTACATTATAATGTAACCATATTATTAAATTCTCAGGGGGGAATTCACCCAGGGTAGGGGCGTGTGTTGAGTGTAGTATTTCACAACACCAACATGTGTTTCTATGACCCTGTGACCTAATAAGGTCAAACCTATTTGTAAACAAGAGTTTCATTTAAGATCGAGTATTGCTCTTGGTACTGGCGTGACGCAGTTCAGACGTTCCAAAATGGCGTACATCATTTACATATTTTGAACATACGTTTTACATACGAATCACTTATTTACATATTTCGTACGCACGTTTTCAATACGAATCACTTATTATTTCTCAATTTAAGCCAACGTTTACAGTACGTGGGGCATAGTTAAAATGGGTATAAAAAGGGGTATCATTATCATTACTGGGTCGAAATTCAGAGGTCGAAACTCAGAGAACGAAATTACGGGGACGAAATTCGGGAATTGAACTACAAGAACGTCTATGCTACTGCACGTCTAAGCCAAGAGTTGCTCAACAATAATACAAGTAAGTCAATTAAGCTACAAAACCTTGGACGTTTTACTCTAGCAATATTTTGGTTCTTTGAATTCATCAATCTTTCTGGTTGAATTGCTAATTTATACGGAGTTCTAAAACCCGTAGTTAAAGGTACTAAATGGTTATCACTTGCATTGTTTTTGGTAACTTAGACAATATCTGTAACTACTTCTGAGTTGTAACTAGTGTTGTCATTTTGGGTATAATTGTACATATATTTTGAAGTACTAAAAACTATCCAATAAGTGATAGGAAATATATTGACTGGTATTATATAATCATAATAAATCTTCATTGTCAATGTGCGAGTAATAGTAAGCTAGACGATCACCCACTTTCTCTCACAATTTAAGCATTTATAATTAATCGTCTACATGGATATTACGCCCTTCACCTACCACTTAACTATCCTTGATCTCTACGCCTTGTAACTGACCTATTCATCAATTTAATTAGGTCGCCCCACTTGAGCTACTTAAAGGGCGCCCCCTTTTATCGAACTTTTGTAAGCTACCCATTACGTGATTTTATTCGGTCACACCCCACGGGATTACTCTCTTTCACTCATTCATGTGTTATTCACTCATCCAGACTCAAGAGATTTTCCAAAGATAACAATACACTATATTTTCAAGTGTATAATTATCAAATTCAAAAAGGTAATATAAAATTGATCCACTAAATGATTTCATAAATATTGTAGAATAAATAGTTCAAAATTAGATTATTTCATCAAATGAAATTGAAATGACATTTCATCAATTTCCTTTCAACTTTTTTTGTGACTGTGCAGAACTACCTTGTTATAACTCAGAAATATGTTGCCACTCGTAAGGTCATTTTTAAACACAAGAGCTGATAAAAATCAATCAAAAATCGTACAATATGATGCTGGTTCTATAACCACATTTTCGGCATCTTCTTGCACATTTCTTTGTTCTTGGAAAATGTTAACATAACTCCTTCCTAACTGATTCCTGAATTATTTCTGGCTTATGGCCCTTTGCATTCATGGAATCTAAGATGGAATGTTATTATGTTAAGAAGATAAATTGCATTTCCAGAGCCAGCCCTAGATTCCATCAAATTAACAAATAATCCTGCTTTTTCACTCCCTGCATAAAACATGTTCAATGGTGATATTCTACTGAATGATTCATTAGGTATGAAATTGATATACGAGGGCTGATCATAAAGTTCTCGTAAAATCTCTCTATTTTCCAATAAGTTCTAATGAGATTTTCACAGAATGTACAGAATGGAATGTCCTATTAATCCATCAAAAAATATTAAGTCTAACAAAAATATTAGAAAAGTAATGGTTGCCACAGTAATAGGATATTAATTAGAGTGATATAATGAGAACTTTATGATCACCCCTCGTAGCTTAGCACACTGGATGTGTATTAAGAGGTATTAAGATACTCTGACCATTTAACTGCCTCAATCTCATAGACATATGAGAAAAGAGTAACAGGTCATTACTTGTGGGTTCATATGTTACATTATTTTTCATTCTTGATTACATATAATGTAGATTTCATTCTTGATTACATATAATGTAGAAAACTCATCACAAAATGCCTCAAAAACTTAAATGATCATCGATCATGCAATTGTGAGACATATAAGCCATATAAGATTGATCAGGGAAAATTCACAGGAATGTTCGTGGATTTCAGTTGTAACAATTTTGTGACACCCAGTATGTCAATTATTTTCTGCAGCACTAGTTTATAGTGACATTTTGCAATTATTTTGTATAATGTACGAGCAGAGCAATGTAATAATGCACTCATCTGTAAGGTACAAGCACAGCAATATAATTATGCCCTCATCTGTAAGGTATGAGTACAGCAATATAAGTATGCCCTCATCTGTAAGGTATGAGTACAGCAATGTATTTATGCCCTCATCTGTAAGGTACAAGCAGAGCAATATAATTATGCCCTCATCTGTAAGGTATGAGTACAGCAATGTATTTATGCCATCATCTGTAAGGTATGAGTACAGCAATGTATTTATGCCTGTAAGTTACAAGCAAAGCAATGTAATAATGCCCTCATCTGTGAGGTACAGGTGTCAGCAATATTATAGTTGTGTTTAGTCTATTTATTTATAGTGGTCAGTCTTACAATTCAATAAATATATTTAATGATTAATTACAATTTTACCTAGCCCACCTTATTAACCACTGTTAACAATGGAAAAAACAGAGTTAATACACGAAAATCAAGATCACATGTTGTAAATGAATTGCCTTCTCCGCACAAAAGCCATCTTAATAAATTTAACAATTTTTTTAATTTTATAAATGCCCTCATCTGTAAGGTACAAGCACAGCAATATTATAAATGCCCTCATCTGTAAGGTACAAGCACAGCAATATTATAAATGCCCTCATCTGTAAGGTACAAGCACAGCAATATTATAAATGCCCTCATCTGTAAGGTACGAGCAGAGCAATGTAATAATGCCCTCATCTGTTTAATGATCAATAAATGAAATCAATTATCAGTAATCTAATTGTGAGAAGAGCATCTCTTCTGGGTTCTGCATATAATGAATCCATGAATCAAGTTGCAAGTTGCTGATTGTGTTATATGTGCATTCAATGTTCATGTAATATAACACTCCTCTCATGATTCTATATACAGTCCCTGAGCCTATATACAAGCTAGAAACCCATTAGGATTTTGTCAAGCTTGTATCTGAGCTGTTATCCTAATGTCCAAAATACTACTTTAGTGATCTTGTCTGTAACTTTTATGTTGTTTACTCGTTCCCTTAATAGTAACAAAGATAGACTTTGTCTCATATTTGGGATATGCTAAACAATGCACCTGATTGATTTAAATGTATATTCTAAAAAATATATAAAAGAAACTGATGTTATTATATGAGTATATTAAACTGATTTATACAATTGCAATGGTCCTTTTTCCATATAGCTTTGAAATCTTGTTTAAGTCTCGTTTTTAATGAGATTTTAGGAGATCTGCAACCATTAAAGACTAAAATTTTCTTCCATTTGATGGCATATTTGAATTTCCTGTGTAATTTTCTACCAAAACAACTTTGATTTGCACTGTTATTTGCCTTTATTCAAATTCTAATGATTTTCTAGTTGTCTAAAAAAAGGTTGGGCTAAATCCCCATTGACACAATGCTGAAAAACCTTTAAAAGTTCCTTTATTCTTACAAGGATCACAATTTTAATTTGAAATCACAATTCACATGTCAATAAGATCATATAGTTACATTTTAAGTTTATCCAAATGGAATTACTTCCTAAATCCAAAAATTAAGTGACTCTGGCAATACATTTACATGTATTCTAGCCCTACCATAGCCCTACCAATACCCATGATGCCATCTATTTTCCATTTATATGGAAAAAGGTCAATTGTATATA